CAGCAGTTGTTTACTGTGTCGAAAAATGATAGCGAAATTGGCAGTGAAACAGCTCCGACTCGTAAATCGATCTTCACCATTATTGCTCCGTGATGACGCAAGACCTCACACTGCACGAGACACCGTTGTAACTCTACAGCAGCTACAGTTAGAAACCATACGTCATCCTCCGTACTTGCCTTGTCTTGCTCCATCGGACTACCATTTTTTTTTCGTGTTTTGGACAATTTTGTACGTGATAATTTTTTTTCTTCCCAGGAGGCAGTAAAAAATGGTTTCACACAGTTTGTCGAATCTAGATCGCCAGAGTTCTATCGTAAAGGCATAAATGTAGTCAGATGTCAGCAATGTATAGATAATAAGGGTAAAAATTTTGATTAAATAAATATGTTATTACTTGAACTTAGAAAAAATCGAATTTCAATTTTTCATACTTTATTTTACTTTACCCAAATAAACCATTTAATTTTAACACACTATTCTGCTTTTGTCCATGTAAGTCCAAAATTTAATTTACAAAAAAAAATTGTGTATACCTGAAAAAATCTCAAACTTTCCCTCAATAGCTACTTCGAGTCACAGGTTGCGAGCCTAAACCGTTATTACCGGAATTAGCTAGCCTGTTATTTTACATTTGCAACCATTCTAAGTTTAATAGAGCAAAGGAAATGTTTTAAGGGATACCGCAAATCTGCAATGAAGAAATAGAACAAAGACAGCAGTTACCTGGGGTCGCCTACCAATTAGTCCGTCCACTGTTTAGAGATTGCACTAGGATACAGATACTTAAACCAGCTATGAAGCCGTTGTCTTAACCGTGGCAGAGCCATGTTACCACATAATATTTTTTGTGTTATAAAGGACAAACCAGCAAATGGGCCATCTCGATCGGAGTGATACCAGGGCCTCACAGAAAACCGTTGTTAAGCAATTCTCTTGCAGCTTTTCAACGTGTGGGTGAGATTACCGTAGACCCCACTCGCCTTGCCTAATTCCGGAGGGTTCTTCAAGGGTAACAATGCTTTTGTGTGTTTTGACAGTTTCTTATTTCACCCCGTTCCATAAGTCACAAACCAAACATTACAAATATGAACAAATAATTGTTCATCCCACAATAATTTGTCCTGGTTGGAATTACGAGTAAGTTTCATCTCAGTAGTCATATCACTAAGGATTAGACCAATTAGTCTATCAAAATTGAGAACCTTTCATATCTTGTCAGTAACAAAACCATAAAATCTATATAACTAAAGTAAACTCGCAATATCCATACACGTAGAACTTGCTCCAACTTAACCCTCAAACGATCACTCAACTAACATTGACCCGTAACTAAAGTCTTATACAAACACTACACGGGTTGCGAACACTGGTGCCTTCATGTAACCATCGTTTAGTAACGCCTACAGAGAATAAATATAGTGGTTTTGTTCGATATTACTTTAAGTGCGTACAATCTCGTTCAACAAGCGTTTCTGAGTTAGCAAATTTGTTTTTAACTCTTTTTCTACCTGATGCAAAGAAAATTATTGACATAAATAAGTTTTTAAACTCTAGTCTATTATTTTAAAGTGTCTCTAAATACTTTAAACCACAACAAAATCGATGTCGTATATTACCTTATTTTAGCAGTTTACTATGCAATAAGTTAAGTTGTTTCATAACACATATTAAACAGGCCTGTTGGTCTAGTGGTTCGTGACCCTGACTACTAAGCCGGAGGTCGTGGGTTCGAATCCCAACTAAGATAAATAGTTGTGTGACGAGCACACAATTATAAAGTTAATATTACAATAGTTCTATTCTATTTCATTAAAATTAGATATAATAGTGAAGATAACAGACAGAATGAAAAAGAGCGTACGTAACTATCTAATAATATCGCGACTGCTACTACTACATCAGTAACAGTGCTTTGAATTACTTTATAAAAATATACCCCTAAATGACCCGTTATGAATCAATACTCAGGGTAAATTAATTCAAATGTGAATTAAGAACACTCTGCTGTCATTGTATTTCTATTCTGTATATGAAAATTCGAATATGAATAATTACACGGTAAACGATAACTGCTAAAAATACAAGAAAACTTTTTACCCACAACATAGTTACACTATTCATAAACCGCTTTTTTAAACGTGATAAAATTTAATAAAGTACTGGTTGACAGAATTTAAGTAAGTCAGTTGTAAGATAATACAAAGGTATTCAGAGGTGTATACATAAATTTATTCTGATATTGATGATGATGATAATCATCATCATCAACAGCCTTTAATAGTCCACTGATAGACATAGGCCTCTTGATAGAAAGGAGTTTTTGGTCTACTATAAGACGCTGACTAGACGGGTTGATATAGTTTGTTTGAAGTTTTCTTTCTCTTTGCAGTGCTGTTGTCCTGTTTGCTCTCTTAGTCGGCTCATGGGATGAATAGAGATGGTGACACTCCGTATTTTTAGTCCGTCACCACACGGATGATTCTGTTATTAATGGCAATTTAAACAATGTAGACAACAGTTTTAACATGTTTAAATGTTTTTCATCAATTTTGTGTTACGAGTGCTCCCTACCTACAATTACATAACCGTCATAGATTTATTTTTAAAATAATGCTAACATTGAATCTATCATATCTTAAATCCAAAGAACATTTTGTTTTTAATCAACAATTTATCTTAAAATGAAAATAATAAAGAGTGATGAATAGTAATTAACTTTATTAAAAATAATTTGTTTTGCCATCTTAATTTGTAACATTATTAAGTTAGTGTAACGTAATGAATATTAATTGTAACGTTGAATATTCAAAACTGTCTTTTGTAAAACCCACGCAAAGTTATAAATCTGATATTTACTAGAGCAACTATTAGGTGTTTAATTAACATCATTTTATTGTACATATGTAATATTTTATAGCAACAACAATTACAAAGCGAAACGCATTGTTTTAATATATCCGAAATGATAATAAAGCAAGAAAGTAGAAAAATTAGTTGATAAGATAGTTATTTTTACAATAATTAGGTATATCAATATTTAAGTCGCTTATCCACGTGCCTACAATTTTTTTTGTTGTTTAAAAATTAAAAAATAATTACAGCGACTTATATAATAATAGCAACTAAAGGTAAAACCAACAAGGTTTATACCTGTCCTATCTTGAGTCTGTATTTACTTTTATTTAATTATATACAAATTAAAACCATACAAATAACAAATAGAAAAGACAACAGTATGCCAACAACACAAAAGAAAAAAAACCGTGTGGTGTCGTGGGACACCCGATAGGAACGAAGTTGTGACGATCGAGTAAAACTGATTTGACACGATTTTAATTACAACGCCATCTATGAAAGCGGCTATTACCTACATATTTTTCAGTTGGTTTCTAATTAAAACAATTCATAGATTGGTAAAATCTCCTTGAGAAATGATTTCCTATCTATTCGATAGATGGCGCTGAATGACTGACAAGTGACAATTCAAAATAAATACTGAGATGAAAAGTAATGATTTCCTATCTATTCGATAGATGGCGCTGAATGACTGACATGAAAAGTGTCGTTACAACTTTTCGTGAGAATTTTTTCCGTCTAGCCCCCTTTCACAGCGCGCGATAAGGAACTTCGTTCCAAAAATAATCTTATACTTACTTATTTTATACTTAACATAAATACAGCAACAATCTTTGTATGTACGTTTAGGTATTTCCTAAACGTATTTACAACTAGCGCATCATTTTTAAACAAAAGTTAAGAAATATTGCTTTAATTTGGATTTTATATTTTTCTTTGATATGCTATTCCATAAATCTAAGGGTAAGTCATTAATAAGTCGAGGGACATAGGCGGTAGTCAACTCGCCGTACGTATTATTAACTCGCTGTGTGTGAAGCCGATTCTCTGAAATTTCAATACCACTTGATTCACTACCCACACTTGATTCACTGCCTACAGTATAGCCTCAACCAGACCCAATGTGATTCAAGACGAGCGACGACGTATTGAGCTATAAGATAGTGTCATATTTAGCTCTTAACAGTTATCACTAACTTTTCAAATCCACGCTTTAAATTATTGTATTTTCTAGAGATGTATAGTAATCAAAAAACCTTCAGAAACAATAACTAAAATTTTAATATAAACCGCTTTATCTGAACGAAATAAAAAGAGAACTTTTGGCTATCTGTGAATACTTTTACACTGAGAGAATGAAATTAAGATGTATTTTACGTAGTAGATGAAACAAAAGACAAAAGTAATGAATCGTTAATATAAATGCCTCATTGATATACAGGTAAAAAATAAGGATACAAAAGATGTCATTGTCTCAATGGCCATGGATCAAGAGCCATATTTCGAATAGTATCTTGTCACACATTTATAAACCTATAAATATTGCATTTAAAAATGTGCTGTAGTACTATTAATAGTCCTATCATAATTATAGTATCCTAAATTACTCCACACTGACACCACATTAGTAGTATTAGTAGTATCTACATTGCACCCGTGCAAAGTCGGGGCAGATTGCTAGTAATAGTATAATTGTTTACTCCACACTGACACCATATTAGTAGTATCTACATTGCACCCGTGCGAAGCCGTAAAACTTGAAACAAACCCTATACCAACCCGTCTGGCCGTCTGGTATAGTAGGGCAAAACTTCCTTTCTAAGGAGAGGCCTCTGTCCAGCAGTGGACTATTATAGGCTGTTGATGATGATGCTTCAAAAATATGTCTTTTCTCTATGTTACCAAATATAGGATTGCAACTACACTCTAAAAATAAAGCACAATACTGGCCTAGATGTTTCAATGGACGACATTTTGACATTTAAGTCTGTAACACTGGAACATTGAGTATCGTTTATACCTGTATAAATATATTAACATACAGCTTCATGACATTTCATAAATTCCTATAAGTGTAACAATGCTATACACGTTCATCACTCATGTAAATATGAGCATAAATACACAATAAAATCACTTACCAGTGTGAGCTGGTGCTGAGAGCACATAGGCAAGGCTCGTGAGAAGTAACAAGTACATACACCATGCAGCCGCCATGGCAACCTGCGTACAAGGAAAAAGAATGCATTAAAATTGTGTAAATAAGAGCAAAATCATAAATAGATCGAAGAATAAAAACACCTGGAAATTAAAATGGAAACAAATTTCACTGCTATATGCCTTTATGAAAATAACAAAGATGTAGAAAATTATTTTTATACTAACATAATTATTGAACTAATAAATCAAGTATCAAATTAATAATTAGTCTAGTTATCAAACCTTTAAACAACAACACTTACACGGCCAATTTATTTGTGTACCACCACAATTTTTTTTATCAACCGGTCACCAAGTTTCGGCATTTTTTTTACATGTCCGTTCATTTCATTTTTTTCTAAGAGCGTGGGTTTCATTTAATTACATACACTTACCGGGGACATTGAGGTTAGTTAGATAACTTTAAACATGGCTGACCTTATTTTAAGTTAACCTTTGGATGTAAATACTTTCAACGCCAAGAGTGTCTGTTGTCTTAACTGGGTGAAGTGTTGACATTTACTCAACAGTTCAAAATATAACCACCGAAATATACAGCCGCTCTGATACTTTTTTAACTATTGTTGTATTGAGCTGCTGTTCAACTTTGGTTTTCTAGTCGGATGGCTGTGATATCAGAAGTTAAAAATATTTAAATATCCTCTGCCTTAGTGGCAGTGCCTCAGTTACACTTTATCAGACGAATCTAATTTTACTACAATTTTTTTTGGTATAATATGTTCCTTCTCCGTGGTACTATCTACAGTAAGTAAATACTATCTACAGTGTGTAAAATGTATACTGTACCCATTTTCTGAAATCGATAAGGAATAATTTAATAATACTCAATAAATAAAAAGCAATTCAAGACATACGATTGGCGACGGAAGCCCCGTAAGTGCATGTTGGGTGAAGTTAAATCAATAACCTTGTATGTGTCAATACCTCTTCTTCTATAAATCATTTACACCATATTAACATGTAAAGAGGACACTATAAAGAAGAACGTTAGAAAGCGTTAAAGTCCTACGTAACCAACTCATTTAGACTATGTAGACCACGTACGTGAGACGTTACGAATAATATCTCTTAAAGTTCACGGAAATCTGTAAAAACCAATCTTAAAAATAAAAGAAATTTTAAATTAAAAAGGCAATAAACAAACTTATTGAACAATATATAGCGACTTTTCGTGAAATTTTTTTTAGAGTGGCAAAACAGTTAAGAATAGGAAAGTTTTTAAATTGTTAAGGACACTCTCCTCTAGGTTAATCTCAGCTCCAAAACAGTTTTAAGTCCATGATTTGTAAAGCTTTAAAAACTGTCCTAAATGCTTATAACATCAAAATAGAAATCAATCAAAAAGTTTGATTGGCTCTCAGACTCAATTACGTGAAGTTCTAATTTACTTTCAACAGTGTGGGTATTTTCCACTAGATCAAAGTTTATTAAAGGTTAGTTGGTAAATCTAGTGCAGATTTAGTGCACACATTTAATTGACATACGAGAATAATACAATCAACTGCACACCTCTTACACGCAAACATTAAATATAATTCACAATTAGAATACGTTTAAAGATAAACTCAAATCTCGTGTATTTATTTATTAAATTAGTAATAGTTATTGTCCCGTATTACTGTAATCACATTAATTACATACAATTAAAAGCGAATATTACTTTAAGGTGATTGGTGACTGGCTATGAAAATTATTAAAAGTTTTCAGTGGATTTCTTTTTTCCAAAATAACTTCAAAATCTCTGAACAGAGAGGTATATGAAGTATCATTAGACTCCTTACACCATCGCTAGGGACATAGATTATAAATTACACACAATATAGCTCCTTTATTGTGAGTCCTTTGTTTTACTTTAATATACAACTTGGTTTTTACATTACTTTGTTAGCAAAACAAGCACACCGCTAGCTCTAAGCTAGTGGTCAGTAATGCCTGTAACTACTGCTTACATCGTTGGTTTCTTTCCCGTAGAACTTTAGTGAGTTTATAACTAGCAAAAGAAAAACTTCACTATTATTGATTATGCCGATAGATACAAGGGCAAAATTATTAATTTAAATTGCAATAATAACGCCGGTTCATATCACAGAAAATTTGAAAGAGTGGACGAACTGAATATTGGCACAACTTTACACATTCACATGAAATTCATCACTTATAATCGCCAAGCAGCCGACGGACGCAGTAAGTCGTTATTATTACACTAATATTTTAAGCTCCCGAGAGGTAGCAATTAAGGACAGGGTACAAAGCTTCTATTTTAGAACACATCTCACGCGCATAGACGTCTTTATAAATTAAGGCATGACGAGATATTTAAGATTCCTTTCATCTACCGAATCTTAAGGCTCATCGTAACTGACATAAACGTGTTTCTTTTTTAGCTACCTGTACTTGACTATCGCACTGCAACTTTCAAGTAATATATTATATTTCTGAACACAGGACTCATACACTGGATCTTATAAATCTTTTCTTAAAAATAACTTTGCAAACAAACATGACATTATCTTATACAGATCTGTTGTATAGTCGTCAGTACCTACAACCACTCGCAAAACTCGTAAACTTTGAATTCTCTTGTGCATTAGTAAACCTCTCCTCATCCCCCTTTTCCCTCCTCTCCAAACCTCTGACCTCTGGAGCAACCACACTCATGAATAGAAATAAGTTTACAGCTTTAACATTGCTAACCAACCATGGTCTTCTAAAATGATAAAATAGGGCTGGTCGATCATTATGTTTTTTTTTAACCTTAACATGATTGAATTTAGTATATTAAAAATCTAACGTAAGACCCAAGTAACTACGTCTTTGTCTAAAATAATGCAAATAATGTTTTATTTCTTTAAGTCTTATTTTCTCATTAAAAGGTACTTAAGAAAGCAAACTGGGTTGACGGAATTTGTGTGAAAATAGTGTATTCTTCCTAGTACAGTTCTGAAAAAGCAACAAATGAGATTTAAAGTAAATTGATTCATTTCGTTTTAAAAATGTTTTTATTTTTTGATGAATAATACACAGATGTAAGAGTTAATGATTTAAATAAGAATATAGCACTTCAAAAGTTATTTATTTACAAGCAATCAACTACCGTTTTAAAAATTCATCATCATAAGATATTTTAGTGAAATGGATCGTGAGCATTTTAAAGACGTAACAGAGTCTAGCATTAATTTGACGACTGGATGGCGTAGTGGTTTGTGTAACGGATTGCTATTCCAAAGGTCGCGGGTTCGATTACCGCTCAAGTCAAACATTTGTGTGCTTGAACATTTGATGTTTGATTTGGTCTGGGTGTTTCTATGTATAATATGTATGTATTTACAAAAAAAAAAGTATGTATGTATTTATATCAGTTGTCTAGTACCCATAGTACAAGCTCTGCTTAGTTTGGGACTAGATGGCGTTGTGTGTATGTGGTAGAATATATTATATTATATTAATTCAGGAGGCAGCACCATATGTTACGCAGGGTGCTTATATTAAGTTATAAGCTATGTTTACTTTGTTAACTGTATTGGCTATGCATCACAACAATACAACATACAACACACAATTTCCTCACCGCATATTATCTAGTTTTCTATATATAAAAGTAAGGTTTACAGATCTCAAAGGTACTCGCAATGGCACTGTAATATCCGTACAGGAACTTCTCTGTAACAGCTAAGGAAATTAGCATTTGATGACACTACGATGCAGTTGTGTTGTGATTACTTTTTTGAGGCAACTCCTTAGCTGCAGCTAATTCCATGCTTACAACAAACAATATGGGATAAGCTTTGAATAATTGTCTATCTCTTTAAAGGTTTTATTCTACGCCATTATCATTTATTTATTTCCAGCCATTATATTCATCGACAATTTTAATTCCATACAACCTCTGATTAATAGAGGCAGTGTTGCGTTTCTGGGATTAAGAAATTATTGTCTTCATTCATTTTTCAAGTTATACTCAAATTATAAAAAAAAGAAAAAGCATAAACATGCCATCGATCAACTATAAACCCAGGAACTAAAGATATGTATGTTCAACCTAAAGGTTGCAAAAACATAAAAAGCAAATAATTCTGTCCTAACAAGAGGAACGGTAATGTGTATTCCATGCTCTTGCGGCACGCACATGAGGTAAACGGAGCTAGAGTAGCAGTTCATGCAACCGCAGGTTTTTTTTTTCACACATCTCACACACGGCCGTCTGATCCCAAACTAGGCTGTTATGGTAACTCTTCCTGTATTATGGTAACTAGACTGCTGTTAAACATACTTATATATTTCTAAATACATATATATTATAGATAACTGAGACTGCACGGATGGCGTAGTGGTTTAAGCGGTCGCCACGCCGCTTCCTACTACGCCGAGTGTTGTGGGTTCAAACCCCACATGGGACGACACTTTGTGTGATCCACAAATTGTTGTTCTGAGTCTGGGTGTTCTTTGTGTCCGTTTCATGTATGTTTGTAAAGTCCCCCGCGACACAGGATTTATTCCTAATGCGGGAGTTGTCTTTAAAAAAAAAAAAAAACTGGACATGGAACAAATGACCGTGATCATCAAACATATATTTGTCCTGGGTGGAAATCAAACCCACGACCTATAAGACCTGGAAGTTTCTTGAACATAAGTCTGAACAATGAACAATAAAGTAGAAACAGAATAGCTATAGACTCTGGACAAAATTCAAATTCATATTTTTTTGACACTAATTAGAGCATCAGCTAATTGAAGTAATGCAAAGGTAGTATCGAGCTGTCCTTATTGGTGTTCAAAGGACAGTATTAGGCGATATGGTTTTAAAAATTAAATAAAGTCACGGTAGTACGTACTTCAAGTAAGGAATTTCTAAAATAAAATAACAATATATAAAGTGATAACAGTATATAGACAGTTATACCTATACAGTTTCGCATCTTTGTCAGTAGATATTAGATAGATAGATATAGATAGCTTTGATAGATAGAGTCGACCCCTGTCACGATGCAACCCAAGTAACTTTCACAGCCAGAATGTTTGCGACATTTTATATATTAGTATTTAAAATAGGAAATGTTTGCCGATAGGATATTTGACGTCGGAAACATCGGTGATCCCTAAACTTTACCTGATTTGGAATGCTCAATATATCCATTATTATTGGCAGTATTATTAACTAGTAATCTGTCACCTATTGTTAGATAGGTCCTACATACGTCAGGCTGCCCAACATATAGATACTTAAATTATTATTGCAAAAAGAAGTTTATTTGTTACGCTTTCACGCCTAAATAACTAAACCTATTCCACAAATTCTCTAACAAATAACATATATTCATCATCAGCGAGTAACATATGCTGCTTTTCACCGCAATAACTTTCATACACGCGAGAGCAGACGCGG